AAAGTACCTACCTTCAACAGCGATAATAACATCTCCTCTAACATGCATCACTGCTGGCAAAGAATGCCACGTCGGATCAAATAGGAAATGAATCCGCAGCATTTCTTCTCGGGCGGAGAAATCCGGAATGTTTTCCCACGAGTCTCTACATTGCCGAAAATCCGGGAACGCGTAATCGCCAATATAATTGCAAATGGCGTCGTCGGGCCAGGCTGATGGATGATGTTCTGAGTCAATGAGTCGGTGACTCCGGACCGGTGGATGCTGAGTCAACTCGCGCCTATCGAGGTACCCGGCTCCAGAAACTGACCTGGTGACTCGCTCCGGCCGATGGCGCCGGGCAGCCGGCCGGGGGAGTCCGCGTCCATTCGGTCCTCTTCACGCTTCTGCCCGCGGGCGCCGCCCTTTATAGGTGGTGATGGATGATGAGCCTGTGACTACAGAGTTCATCAGAGAGGCCGGGGTGATGATACCGATACTGTGTGGTGTGTCATGGTCAGGCTGAACAATTGTGGAAGTACGACTGACTAAATCTGTTTCAGTACGAACGGCAGCGGTAGAGCGAGGCGAACCAGTGTTATGTTCTTATGTCGCTCTGCAGTCTCCGTAAAGTTACTCTCTTACACACTGCTGCAGTCGCCGGGGAGACTTCAATTCTGACTTGTGTCTATCTCACTTTGTGATCTAGTCTCCTGTTACAATCCCGATAATAAATACGCTTTAGTTCAACGCTGTTGGCCATTTCAGTTGGCTAAATTCCGAGCCATTGTTAGCACCGCGCCTTGCCACAGGTCAGTTTAATTGCGACTGTGTGTTTAACCCGACTACACGACCGCGAGACACCGGCCGACACGACACGACCCTTTGTTCGTGCCGCGACACCCGTGTCGAGCGACTATCAGTCCCGAGTAATCAAATCGCATAATTACCGCCCACTCTGAGCACCTAATTCTAACGAGAGGACACCGCGGCCGTGGCCGGGCCGGCCGGCGGCCGTCTCACCCAGGTGCTAATTACGTGCCGCCGCCGGCCGGCCGGCACGCCGAGCATTTACAGCTGGCCACGGATGGGGTTAGGTCGGCACAGCCGGGCCGGCGGCGCGCCCGTCATTATGGGCGGCGAGTGGCCCGCCCCCGGCCACAGGCGGCCGTGGGAACCGGAGGAAACAGAGAGCTGACCCCAACCGGCCGGCCGGAGCCGACAGAGAGCTGACCGGGCGGAGCCGACACAGGACGACCCCGACCAGCCGACCGCTTGAACGGACCATAGGTGACCCCGACCGGCCGGCCGGAGCCGACACAGGACGACCCCGACCGGCCGACCGACTGACCGGACCAGAGGTGACCTCGACTGACCGGGCGGAGCCGACGCAGGACGACCCCGACCGGCCGACTGAGCGGACCAGAGGTGACCTCGACTGACCGGGCGGAGCCGACGCAGAGACGACCCCGACCGGCCGACCGACTGACCGGACCAGAGACGGTACTGACTGGAGTCGGCACACCACCACCGGTCAGCTAATCCGGAGATAGCCCACCAGCCGGGACCGACACCATGCCACACCCCGCGGGGCAGCTGACCTGAAGATGACCCAGCGTCACACCGAACCGTCGGTTCCGTTTTCGAGCCCGATCATTTCCATTTAGTCTGCACTCCTCTGAGCTCACACAGTGGTGACGGTCCGCCGGCGCTTGTTTCCACCGCTGTCCCTCAAACGCCACACACTGTCAGACCGGCTGCATTTGAATACATTAATCAGTCGCCGCCAGGCGCGGGCGTCAGCTCATTACTACTAGTTTGTGGCCGCATGTCATTACAAAGCTCTCCGACACATTACTACGGCGTCCGGGCTGCACCGCCACATGACGAGCGGCCTTCCTATCCGTCGGAGGTGGCACATGAATCGCTGTCGCGTCGGAATGCATGGCGCGGCGGGTCTGATAAGGTCTGATGGGGTCTGATTGCCGTCCTCTTTGCAGTACACTCGCAGAATGGGACGGCAGATGGGCTATCGGTATGCTTATTGTGATGGTCAGTATTGCAGGAAGGTTGGTGGTTAAAATAAACTGAGGAATGTCACCCTAGCAGTCCTCTCTCGATACGTTTCACGCTGAACAGGTGCGGAGAAGCGTTAGTCTATGATTCCTAAATGTGCTTTGCAAGGTCTTTCTAAACTGTATCTAATCGTACCTTTTCCTCATTCCTTTACCAATAACAACATTTGTTTCCGTCGCAATCATCATGACCACATCAAAGCGCAGCCTTCACATGTAGTTATACCTGCTGATTGGTTGGCACACGCACGCGTCCCAGACATTCCTCGGTCCGTCCTGCTGTCAGTTTCACCCCTGTCTCCGCCCTTCCGCCGCCATGGTCCGCTTGATGAGCCAGCGCGTGCGTGATGAGCCGGTGCGTGTCTGTCTCGGGTCTCCCCTCGCTTCTATCCACTTTTCTCCGTCCTGCGCTCGGGCCGACCGCACCGCCGCGCAGGGCTCTCGGCGGTCGTGTGGAGGGGTCGCTGGGACAGTATGGTGACCTCAGTGACCCCAGCGCTGACAGGCGCGGCATGTGTCCCTCCCCTCCCCGTCTCCCCGTCTCTGCGACCGTCGCTCTGTCCCTTCGTCCGCCTCCCGCCGCTCGGTGGCCCCAAACATGCGCATATAGATGGGCCGGTGACCATCAGCGCCGCTCAAATCGAGTCACACCGACTGCGGGTGACTCGGGGTGACTCGGGACGACCTCGTGACGGCCGGTCGACACGGCGGGGTTCGGCGGGTCGGTGGGACACCGTGGGACGGCGGTGGGACGGCGCCAGGGCTCGGCTGCGGGCGAGGCGCGCGGCGGCGGGTTCCCAGGGTTGCGGGGTTGTGTATGAGGACACCTGTCACCAGCGCCGCCGAGGGCGCCGTGATCATATTCACCACGGCGCGGCAATGTCGCAGTTACGTACTCAGGAGGGAGATTCAGGAGGTGCGCCCGCCCGGGGGTCGGGGATATCCCGCAGACAGGTGCTACAGGCACAGACAGGGACCTGATGGAGGGGCGAAACATGTCACACGGCAGCGGCGGGCCACGAATGCCGCAGAAAACACCTTCAGCGGGTGAAACTGGAAACATGAGCTCGAGCCGCTTACGGCATTTGGATGTAGCACAATTCACAGTACTGACAGAGAAGGGTGGGGAGGAACAAAATTGCTGGTGCCCTCGTCAAAAAAATGTTCGTTACGTTTTAAAGTTGAATGGGTCCTCATTGACTGATTGGAGCTATGTCCTGGAAATACGTAAACGGGGGCACTTATTTAATGTCTCTTTCGTTTTATGTAGAAGCCCATATTCATAAGTGACCGAGGATGACAGTGAGCCACTTCAAGATTTGGATGACATTCGTTAAGCTCATTTCCAAAAATAGCCATTTCTAGACGCATATCATTATCAGCGTCAACTATTCGCCGACTTCCATTAAATTACTGATCAACACCCCACAGCGCTGAAAGATTGGCAGCAGACGACATAAGTGACATTTACAGCACAGCGTGTCAAAGTAAGGCATGCATATTTGATGAGATACCTGAACCGAAATCAAGCGAAAATTCATGTAATATTTCTGAAGCAATTTATGTTCAATTGTCGCTGAAAAGAGGGTGATGAAAACAAGCAAGGCTGATTAAGACGAAACGGTAGTTCGGTTACCTGATAACGGCAACTTAATGCACCCGCACACTGCACATGAACAATCAAATGCTGCAGCTAACTACAGTTTATTGTCGAGATAAGAGCCGGAAGCCATTCGAGGTGGAAAGCCGCGTCCTTCTCTGCCGCCCGCCCACCGCCGGGCCGGAGGATGGTAACGGTGCAGCGCTCACGGCCCCTCATCAGCGCACGGCCGGCCGGCCGGGACCGTTGCCGGACAGCATTTGCATAAGCCATATTTATGGAGAAGGTGCCACCGCGGTCGCCGCCATAACGATATTGGTGCGTCATTAGGCGATGTCATTAAACGGCCGCCGCGCAGCTGGTCGGCGGCGGCTAATGCCGCGATATTGATATGGGATGGCGCTCTGGGCACTGCGCTCACGCGGGTGGTCTGTCCGGCACGGCCGGCGGCCTGTTAAAGTCTCCAAATGTGACACATCCGGCGGCCACAGCCAGTCGGCGTCACCTTTGATGCTGCGAGCGAGTTTGATCTATGGCTCTCCACCATTTATGAAGTTTGATGTATGACTTTTTCCCAGTTCAGGAGGCGATCATTTCACCCACACAGAGCCTTCAAATACAAGTAACTCAGAGCACACACACACACACACCGTCACGTCTGCGGCTGAGGCTGCGGCCCGGTCGGCCGGCAGGGCGGCCGGCTGCGGCTCACTCGGTCGGCCGGCAGGGCAGCTCGGCCCGGACCGGGGAGCGGCGCGCAGCGTGAGACGGCCGTAAGTCGCGCCGATCGCAGCGGGCCAGTCCGTTTAGCATTCCGAGTGAGCGGGCCCGTCGTATAGCGCGGCTCAGATGGCCCTGCGCCGTCCGTATATCACCGGACGATGATAACTGTTGTGTGATGAGGCCGCCTGCGGAGGGCGCCGCTCTGCCGCCCGGCCGCCCACCGCGCGCAGACTGTCACCGGCCGCCCCCGCCCCCGTCCCCGCCGCGGCCGGTGGAGCAGATACAGTCACTTACCCCACTACTGCCGATTTGTGATGTATTCGGCGCATCCAGTGCTGTCTTGGTCATAGCCGTTGTTGCAGGCACGATCATTACCTAATTTTTACAGTTATGGTGGTCTTGTCGAGTTGACCCAAGCGGAGAACCTCTCCCTATCACACTGACCTTTCCTTGTCAAAGCAAAAACAGCTTCGTGTGTGCCATGTGGTGGATAACCTCACAGCGACAGCTCACCGGTGTCTGTCGGTGACCCACGGGCCCTCGATATAATGGAGACAAGGCACACCTCAGGGTAGGGCCGAGTCGATATAGGAGGTCAGCACGGGCTGCGGTCAGTCGTTACCATGGCGCGGCCGCTGAGTCTGTGGCTGTGGCTGCTGCTGCTGCTGCTGCCGGTGCCTCTGCTTGTCAGTGCGTCGGACGCCGACCCCAGGGACCAGGACGACTGTGCGCCGGTGTCCCCGGAACAGCACCCCTGCTACGAGGTGACCGGTCTGCGCCAGTCGCCCATCTCCATCGACGCGTGCGCCGCCTCGGTGTCCGTTCACCAGCCGCTGCGGATCACCCAGCTGGACCGGGTACCGCGGCGGATGACGCTGGAGAACGCCGACGGCCTGGTGCTGGGTGAGACGCGCTGGTACCCTGACCAGCAGCCGACCGTCAGCGGCGGCCAGCTCCGCGGACAGTTCGCCCTCGAGCTGCTGGAGCTGCACTGGGGCGCCAACAGCTCCTCCGGCTCCGAGCACCGCGTGAACGGGCGCCGGTACGCCGGCGAGCTGCACCTCGGCTTCAGGAACGTCAAGTACGCCACGCTGGAGGAGGCGCTGCAGAACGTGGACGGCCTCCTCGGCCTGGCCGTGCTGCTGGACGAGGACGCGCGCAGTCCGGGCCGCGGCATCACGGCGCTGGCGGCCGGCCTGTTCGAGCTGGGCCGGGCGCCGAGCCGGGCCGAGCTGCGCGCGCCGCCCACCCTGCGCGAGCTGCTGCCCGACGACCTGTACCGGTACGTGCAGTACTCGGGCTCGGCCACCTCGGGCGACTGCCTCGAGACCACCACGTGGCTGGTGTTCCTGACGCCCGTCCGCGTGCTGCCGATCGAGCTGGAGGTGCTGCGGAACCTGAGGGACGCCGAGGGGCGCCGGCTGTGCAGCAGCGCCGGCCGGCCGTTGCAGCCGCTCAGCGGCCGGACCCTGATCAGGAAGGGACGCGCCGCCGGCTGTGACAACAAGTAGCTGCTGTCTGTGACTCGATTCAGTGATACACAAAACAAACACAAACAGGCTTAAACTATGTTGCGAGGCATCATTCGAAAGCTGCCAAGTTTCAAATACATGTAGCCGTTTGATATGACCCAACGGACCGCAGCACGTGCCCTGTCTTCACCGGACCGCGGAGATCGGCGATCGGTCGACGCTACTGCACCTGACTCAGCAACAATCAGACTCAACCGTGTCATACGAGGTCCGAGGAGTTACGGTGATAACGCAGTGAAAAGGAGACACTATTCGCTGTACTGTGCAAATAAAACCGGCTATGAAACTGCGTGTATATTTCAACCGATTTTGTTTAAGTAAACTCTGGTTAAAGGTGCTACTGTTGGGAACATCTACTGTGATCTCTCTCTCTCTCTCTCTCTCTCTCTCTCCTCTCTCTCTCTCTCTCTCTCTCTCTCTCTCTCTCTCTCTCTCTCTCTCTCCCCCTCTCTCTCTCTCTCTTTCTCTCTCTCTTTCTCTCTCTCTCTCTCTCTCCTCTCTCTCTCTCTCTCTCTCTCTCTCTCTCTCTCTCTCTCTCTCTCTCTCTCTCTCTCCGCATCGACCCCCGGACCGTTCGTGGCCGTCTGCCCCTATCCCCTGGGCGGCGGCGCGGTGGAGAAGGCTCCCGACAGGTCTGCAGGAGGTGGCCAGATTCGGATGATGCATACCTCCAAAACGTGATGAATATCACCTCCAGAACGTGATGAATATCACCGCTGCATGAATAAAGGCTCAATCATAACGCGCATGAATAAAATCTGATTCATAAATAACTTTTAATGACATCAAGTGCCGGACTCATTAAGCACTTACCGCGGCGTAGGTTCCGGCCAATATGTCACTTTGGACAAGCGTGCTGTAATCGAGCTGACGTTATCTCACGTGATATACTCAGCCAGGCCAGCCACTTGACCGCCTACTTTGCGATGTTTCAACACCCTCAATACCTACTCCTCCACATTCTTCATACGCCTTCCAATGCCGACCGTGCCAGTCTGAATGCTAGTCTCACGGCAGCGTGCGCCCCGCTGACATCCCCCGCGCGCCGGCGGCCCGTCCAGATCCCTTCCGGTGGCGAGTGACCGCCCGTCAGCTAACCAGCCATGCACACCAGATCAGCGCAATGACATCTCAATCCGGTCACGATCACACCATCGGCTTGCATCGCTTCTGCTCGGCTGGTCCGGTGACAAATAGGCGGACCACCGCCGCGGCGGCCGCCGAGCTGACTGGCGGGCGACCTTCGCGGCGATGGCTCGGCCGCTTCCCTGCATGCGCCGCTGTATGGGAAGAACTCAGAGGAGCCGTTCCCATCCGTGGGAGCCAGCCAGCCTGCATAGGCAGAGCGATAGTGCCAGGCTTCATTCTGTCGGCATGACTGAGCTGTCATCATTGCTTGATGCGGATATCAAGCGACTGATATTTTAAGGCCTCGCAGCAGCACACTTTTTCCCAGCAGACTTTCCAGTCTATGGTATATCATTAGCTGCGAAACGAAGCATAAAAAGATGGTCCCTCTACGGCCTAGATTCGATCCAACAAAGACGTGGCCGAGCTGGCGAGAGGCTTCGACTAATGACATTCTACTGGAGCTGATTTGAATGTTAACTCCAGTGGCTCTATTTTTATTCTGTCATTGGATACCGCCGTTATCGATTATCGAAACAACTTAACAGAGTGGCCTGGCGAGGAAAGTGAACGATCACATATCGGATTTCGCTCCACTCTGGACCATGCATTATTAAACAGGGCCGCAGCGGAGGGAGTTTGTTGGCCTTACCCTAATTAGTTTGCACCTTTCTTGTGAATGGATCGCTCAACCAGCTATTCTGTTAGAAACTTGGAACGTAAAATCTTGAAATATGAAAGTCTTAAGTTTTATTTCTATCTTTAATTTTTTGCTTCTCTAGTCGAATTGCATGTCCAACAGTTTGTTTTAGACGAAACTTCAAGCTCTGCGGTCATGGTGATAAAATAACACTTCTAACGTTTATCCACTGGCAGTCCACAAATGAAGTCACCTCATACAGCTCAATTTTCTCCTGTCACCACCTCACGGCTCTCGTCCTCCAATAGGACTCAGCGGCGGCCTCCACCCCGACTATCCGATCATCTGCTGCTCTGTGACGGACGCCATCAGCCCTCCGGTGTGTGCCCACCCCCGGAGCCGGAGATTGCATCTGGGACGGACTGTCACCCGTCGCCAGCCCGCCTCCCACGCACCGGCTGTCCTCCCGTCCGACACCCGACATCCCCAGCAGCTAAACCCGGCGCTGACGCGCCCTGAGCCCAGAAGAAGCGGATGTTCGGACAAACTCGGGTGTGGGAGTCGGTCGGTAATAGGATTTGTTGTGTCGCCCGGTGGCCACGCACGCAGAGGTGTTGTGGTCGGACTTAGGATGTCAGATAATGGAGGTGATGACGGGATAGAGAGAGAGAGAGAGGAGAGAGAGAGAGAGAGAGAGAGAGAGTGAGAGAGAGAGAGAGAGAGGAGAGAGAGAGAGAGAGAAGAGAGAGAGAGAGAGAGAGGAGAGAGAGAGAGAGAGAGAGAGAGAGAGGAGAGAGAGAGAGAGAGCAGAGGGAGGGAGAGAGAGAGTCTGAATCAGGTTAAAGGGAGATAATGAGCTTTCTTTTTTCTTAAATAAAAATTACTCGACATCTATACTATTTCTACTGTAGTTTCTATAAAATATGAAAATT